ACTGTCAACTTCCTCTAATTTGCTAGAAGGAATTGAAAAGACTTTGGGGGAAGTTGGCCCCCAAAGCACTAGAACAGTGTTTCTTTCCTTTACACAGTCTTTTGCCTTGATCTTGTGAGCTTGGGTACTTTTTGGCTGAATGCAGGGTTTATAGTATAAGGGTCTAGCATTCTCCTGGATCTACAAAGCAGCACTAAAGTTCTAGCAGTGTCCTGGGTCATCCCTCTGTCACTTCCCTGAATCCTAAGCTATCGCTCCCAAGTTAGAAGGCCAAACATTCACAAAGATATTGGCTGTCACTTGCAAGTCACTTCTGTGTCTGAGAAGCCATTTACTGCTGTGCCCCAGCAAGACCAGTGAACCGCAAACTCCGGACACAGTTTGAAAAGTCTGCAGGACTGGCCAGGAGCCTGCTGCTTATATTCCTAAATCAATGCGTCCATGAGACAAGACCAGTGCATGTGTGTCTTGGAATGAGTGCTGCAGGAATGGGTAGCAGAGCTCATGTCTGACCTTGTTGTGCCTGGGTTTGGGTAGATTGGCAAGCTTTGATTTGGGCATGAATATGGCAGAGCTGCAATTCAGGGGCAGTGTTCAGCATTTGAGATCATCAAGCCAAAACCTCTCTGCAAAACTCAACAGAAGTCCTATCTTCTTTTATTGCATCCTGACCCCCTCCGTGGTGTCCAGCAACTGCCCATTACTTTCATTGTTCTGGCCATGTGATGTGTTTTCTTAGATCCCTGCCTGAGCTTCTTGGCCACCTCCAGATCTAGCACTATCTCCTTGCACTCACTGGCCAAGCCCTCCACGGCCCTGCTCTCTGCTCTCCTATCCCAGGGCATCTCGGCTCCCGACGTTTGCAATTCCAGTTCCACCATCTGATCTATTCCCTCAGGCATTTTAATCTCCCCTTCCTCCAAGGATCTCTGGGTAGCACATGTCCCCATTTTGTGCTCACAACAGTCCTGTGAGGTGGACAGAGGTGGAAGAGTGTGACTGGACCAAGGTCATCCTGTGAGCTTCAGGTCAGGGCGGGGACCTCGAACTCATTCCAACACCCTGCATTATACCCAGTCAGTGGGCCAGTTATCTGAAGGTCTCTTCCTCCCTTGAATGATTCTAACCCTTCTTCTCTTGGGGCCCCGAATGTCTTCCTTTTCAAACACCTGCATGCCACCTCTTTTACCTTTCAAAACTCGCTTTTCAAACTCTCCTTTGCTATGAAATATTCAGCATAACCCTCCCTCCCATTCCTTATTGATCTGGTGCTGCTCCACACATTACGAAGTCCTTGTTATTGGTTGGTGGATGACATGTGTTGGGAGTATTGTGCCTCCCAGATGTATGGAAACCCTTTTCTGCTCACAACTGCAGCAGGTGGGGAACAGTAGCTTCAGCTCCCCCACACACACACACACCATTTTCTTTGGTTAGAGATCCAGAGGAGATAGGCGTGTTAGTCTTTTGCTGCAAAATAGTAAAAAGCTCAGTAGCACCTTTAAGACTAAATTTTTTTATTGTAGCATAAACTTTCGAGAAACACAGCTCTCTTTTTACCATTCTCTTTAAATCCTCAAATCACCCTGTGGAGCCACTATTGATTCCATTGCAAAAATTCCATGTAGCCATGTAAATAAGTAAGAAACCTTTCTCTCGGTATTAAATCTCTATGCAAAACACATTTTTTGGTTTGCAGATCTACAATCTGGATAATGCTCCAGTAATCTAACATATGACTGAACTGTCAGTGAAGATACTCCCCCAAGATCTATTTGGATGTGGGACTTCAAGTGGGCGAGGCGCTGGGATTTGAAATCCATCTTGCCTTTCCATGCAGAGGACACCTGGCTCCAGTAAGAACAGTGGCATTAAAATGCATTCAGTGGGCCCTTTCCCGGGGCTCTCTGTCTATCTGGGTGAATGCAACACCGCACTAGAACACCTTCATACCATGAAGAAGGAGCAGTAGCCCTGCTGGAAAGCCATCGGCAAGATGAATCAGTGAACAGGAGACGGAGCGAGCCTGCTGTGCAATTGAGAAATAATAAAAGTGATCAGAGCATCAGCCAATGCAAATTATTCAAACCACAGTCCTGCAAAACCCAGTTTTCAGTTCCAAACTAAATGCAGGGAGGGAGAAGAAGCTATCAAGTGATGAATTTGGCAATCAATATACAAAGTCTTGAGGAAGGTGCGTGTCAGATTATCTCAGAAATGTACCATCAGAGACAGATGGTGTTTAATGGGAAAGCTGCTTTGTTCTGCAGCTCCCAAAGGCGCTCCATGTCCCTAAAATGGTATTCCTTGCAAACAGACAGCCTCTCCTTAGATATCAAGATGGTTTGAAGGCTAGACTAGGACTGGGCAATGCTAGTTCAAATCCTTGCTCTTTCATGAACATATGAGGCGCCTGCGGCCTTATACTTTACTAGGCTATTGATCCATCAAAATCAGTATTATCTACTCAGGGTCAGGTCACACGGACATTTAGTGCGGGCTTCGCTGCTGAGCCCTCGCGCATTAAAGTTTCCTGTTCATATTGGCAAACCCGCCTCCCGCACCGAAGCGGGCTGAGTCCCGTGGTTTTCGCTCTTTTTATCCGCGTTTTCTGATACTTGTTGGAACAGGTGTTTTTCCGATATCTCGCGCTTTGTATCCGCGGTTTTGGTATCTGGACAGCAATCCGCCGTGACCGCGCTACCCTCCCACCCCCTTTTTGTGTGTGTGTGTGTTTCCGGTTTAAGTTATGCGCATGTGCAAACAGGCACTAGCTTTTATTTTGGTCTTTTTTAGTTTGTATGTACGCCCAAGCGCATGGGAAGACAAGCGCATGCGCAGGTTGTTTGTTTGTTTTTAAACGCGCCACCACGGGGACGGCGCGCTGTGTGATCAGTACTTCACACGAGTGAAGCAGAAGACAGAGGGACCGTCTGACCACCTACAAGCGATATAAAATGTCGCGGATAGAAGAATTGTGGGAAAACTAGCGTGGTAAGAGGTCCGTGTGACCGTGGCCTCAGACTGGCAGTGGCTCTCTGGGGTCTCTGGTGGAGGTCTTTCACATCACCTACTACCTTTCAACTTGAGATGCTGGGGACTGACCGTCTGCATGCCAAGCAGATGCTCTACCACTGAGCCATTGCCCCTCCTCCTCATGCAGATCACTGGGTGTCACTGGCCTGTCACTATCATTCAGCCTAACCTGCCTCACAGGGCTGTTGTGATAATAAAACAGAAGAGAACCACATATATCCCTAAGCTCCTTGGAGGAGGAATCCATGGTGATACCTCCTGTGTTCCAACTGTTTCTATCGTGAGTTTCTGTCTTTGTTCCTGGTTGTTGGTTTTTAATTCCCCTGTTTCTGCCCTTGGGGGTGAAAGGCAGCCTGGTGTAGCTGGATCTCATCAGATCTCAGAAGCTAAGCAGGGTCAGTACTTGGATGGGAGACCACCAAGGCAGACTCTGCAGAGGAAGGCAATGGCAAACCACCTCTGCTTCTCATTTGTCTTGCAAGCCTGTTGCTGGGGTTGCCGTAAGTCAGTTGTGACTTGGCAGTACATGCATACATATTTCTGCCCTTTGGGGATGCCTTCTTTCGATGTTTAGCTTCCTGGAAGCATCTTACTGGTCATTGTTGGGAACAGTATTCTGGTCTAGATGGACTTCAAATCTGTCCCAGCAGGATAGCTGCAGATTTCAGGAGGTGAAGTGGTTAAAATAACTTCTGGACTAATGTACACATTACAAAGGCCATGAGGATTTTGTGTCCTACATGTACTGGGAGTTCCATGCTTCTTGGGTTCATACAGGCCTGCTTCAGAATAGACCCACAAAGCACAAGGCGAGGGGGAGGGGGCTTGCCTGCACAGACATGAAATGGCCCCAGAGAGCTGATTTTTTGCTCCATCAGGAAACATACATAACTGCAGCCACCCAATTCACACAATCTTTCTCCTTCAGCCTTAACTAAGCAGGGGGGAGAGGGACTGGTTACTCTGATACTGGGTAGCTTCTTGTACATGGACATCCTGTTCCCTGGTGACCATCCAAGTGATGGATACATTCAGGATCATCTTTGAGTTGAACTTGGTTTCAGGTGGAACCAGGGTAACTGCAGCAAATCAACGTGTGAAAAATATTAATAATTATTTCATATTAAAACTAGAGGCTTATTTGTTACAGGGGAGAAAATGCATGGCTCAACTGAATCACCTTGGATCTCATTCCTGCGCTCATCCAGTTTTCTGTCTTTAGAATGGGAATGATGTTGGGGGATAATCTTGATCTGAATGGGTCTGGTTCGAAAGCACCTGATGCTTCAGTAAGCAAGTGTGGGTCTGGTCCTTGCCCAGAAGGGGGACCTCCTCAGATCCCCTCCCATGTAGGCACCCTTCATGATGCAAGAAATCTGACATGTAAATACAGTCAAGAAATAGTAATGCTATCAACCTCTCAGTTTCACATGAACACATGAAGCTTCCTTAATTGAGTCAGACCTTGGGTCCGTCAGCATCAGTATTGTTAATTCAGACTGGCAGCGGCTCTCCAGGTTCTCAAACAGAGGTCTTGCACATCACCCACTAACTGATCTTTTTAACTGGAAATGCCAGAGGTCAAACCTGCAACCTTCATCATGCAACGCAGAGGCTCTGCCACTGAGCCATGGCCCCTTCCCATAGGGGAGACAGGGTGAATGTGGTAGCAGTGACAACATTATTAATGCTCAGTGCCTATTAGCTTCAATGTGCAGAATTACTTCCTGATGGGCTGCACCCTCTATGTTTTAATTTTTATTTTTACCAATAGAAGTTCTGTCTGAGTCCCAGAGCCCTAAAAGCAACACAGTCTCTTCTCTTCTGCATGGCTTGTCCTTTGAGAAATGAGATTGTTGCTGCATAATAGATCTAATGTTTTAAATTGGATTGTGGGCCTTTGATCTTAGAAACCATTCAGATGGTGATTAACAATTCTGTTTCTTTCCCTCCTCTCTCCCCAGGTGCAAGTGGGAAGTACACCTCAGGACCAAAGAATTGTGGGATATATTTCCTGCACTCACTTGCAAGCTCTGGCAGGTACTGTACAGTATGGAACTGCTTATGTAGGTTTGCAGAGGCAGTCTTCCTTATGGGGCAGTATAGGCAATGGCAACGGCCAGGGGACAACCAACAATGGAGATGATAGAAGGTGGTGGTGGCAAATGAAGTCAAAATTGCAAAATGAGGTACATTTTCGAAGGGACGTGCAATGTGGAAACTGGACACTTTTTGTTCAGTGTGGACTGGATGGAAATAAAAGGAGTGGTGGGGTGGGGAGGGCTATCCTTGATTTTGCCCAGGCTCCAGAATTACTAAGACTGCCCTGTCAGTGCGTTTGCCTTTCTAATTTCAACTGTCTCTTGCAGAACAGGGATTGAGATACAGCCAGATCGTTCATAACCTGCCTACCGAGAAATACCATATAGTTCTCAACTAGAAATGTTACAGGCAGGACTGGATTAACCACTAAGCTAAGTGTTCAATAGACAGAACAAGGACTTGGAAAAAATGCCCTTTCCCCAGCTCATTAAGCTCTAGATAGCTTGGATTTGGAAAATGCATTCGTGTCTCTCTTAGGCACGTATACATGATCACACTTGACCGCTGCCATCCGTGTTGTATTTCTGTGTGTGGAGCTGATTTGAGCATTTATGTCACCCATCACGGTGCTCCTGATGGTTTGCCAAGCATCCCACCCCTCATTGGTGATGTCGATGAGCAGATTCTTTTCTCCAGCACTATCATGTCAGTCATTATCACATCAAATGGGTATCCATCAAGGCTGGGCAGAGATTATGAACAAGCAGGGATCAAACTGGGATGCTGTCCATGGTACTGAGGTTGCCATAACTTCATACATTCCATTTTCAATTGGAAAATGCAGAAAGATGTCCGGTGTTCATCTTAGTTGGACTGGTAGATATGCAATATATCCTGGACCCATCAGGAGATATCCAGTGAGTTGGTCTGTTGAGGGCATGTACCAACATCTTAGACTCTGTACAGAACAGAGGCTATATTCCCTATCGCACTTCTCAGTTATGGGTGCCAATTTGATTCCAGTCTCACTGTTGTTAGGGCATGGATCTAGGTAGCTAGATCAGCTGAGTCAAGGTAGGGGACCTGAAAGCTGGAAGAAAGTGTTTATTGCAACTGCATTAATTTTCTTCGCCAGCAATAATGCTGGGGCTAGTATAACCTCTGGGCTCTTAACTGAGTCAGCAAGCGTCATCTGGACTCCATCAGATGAGGGAAGCACACAATGTTCTTCAAGATCTCTACCTTCCTAACCAACGATACCGCTGTCTTGTCAGGATTCTGTCTCAGCTCATTCACTCTTAGCCATTGAATCACAGCACCCCTGAGTGATTTGGATAAAGATATATTGAGCTGGGTGTCGTCAGCGTATTGATGGCAGCCAGTTCCAAAGCCACAAATGATTTCTCCTAAGGGCTTTGCGTAGCGATTGAATAGCATGGGGGAGAGGACTGAGTCTTGCGGAATCCCAGAGGACAACTGGTCTTCTGTTGCAGCCCTCTGAGTCCAGTCCATAAGGAATGATTTCATCCAATCCAAAGCACATCCTGCGATATCTACTTATAGAGCATAAGAGAGCATAAGAGAAGCCATGTTGGATCAAGCCAAAGGCCCATCCAGTCTAACACTGTGTCACACAGTGGCCAAAAGCCAGGTGTCATCAGGAGGCAGGCCCATAGCTACAGTGGGGCTATTGGGGGCTCTGCCCCCTTCCTTAAAGGGCCAGCCCCTCAAAAAATTTTGAGAAGAATGGGGGGTTTGCACGGGCCCCCTGCTCCTTTTCAAAAACATTTAAAGGGATCCTTTAAATGCTTTTGAGAAGAAGTGGGGGATGGTGTGTGCCCCTCTCCCTCCAGCTGACTGACCCTTTAAATCTTGCAGGTGAGGAAAAGGGGTGGCCACCAGTGGTTTGGCATGGGGGCAAATTGGGGGCGCGTACCACCCCTTTCATTATGGCAAATAATGGCAGCCCCACCGGAAAAATGTTTTGCCCCACAAGCCACAAAATCCTGGCTACGGGCCTGTCAGGAGGTCCACCAGTGGGGCCAGAACTCCAGAAGCCCTCCCATGTTGTCCCCCAAGCATCAATAATACAGAGCATAATAATAATAGCCACTGATGAACCTCTGCTCCATACGTTTATCCAGTCCCCTCTTGAAGCTGTCTATGCTTATAGCTGCCACCACTTCCTGCAGCAGGGAATTCCAGGTGTTAATTACTCTTTGGGTGAAGAAGTACTTCCTTTTATCTGTTCGGAGTCAGCAAGTGCTGAAAAACCTTAAACAGCCAGGCTGGTCTTAGGCTGTGGTCACACGGAACATTAGCCACGCGGATTTTCCAGGCACGATCTCACCGGCACATCTGGGAAGCGTAGCGCTCCCGTGGGTCACCCGAGGCTTCCTGCCGAATACACGCAGCAAAAAAACTAGTACCTCGGAGGTACTAGTTTCCAAAACCACGGTGCAAGGGTGGGTGTCTGATCGCGATTCCGGTGGCATCCGGCGCCCGCCCATGTCCCCTCGCAAAAAGCTTCCCCCCCCCAAGTCTCCATGGATGCGCACAAGCACCCAACGGAGCATGCGCATACTTCAATGTACAGGGGGAAAACCCGTTTGCCCTGGAGGACGGTGAAGAGGCGACTGCTTGTCCAACCGTCCCCAGGAGCCGCACAGAAGGCAGTTCAGAGTCGGCCAGAGCAACGACCCCCCCCTCCGGGGGACCTGCCTTTCGGTTTCATTGTCAGGACTCAAGCTCCCTCTTCCCCACCCCTTGGCCACGTCCCTTTCTCCCTTCTCCTCCCACCGAGTGCCCTTCTGGGACATGTAGTCTGTTTCAGCCGCTTCTTTGCCACATGGTTGTGTGATCGGCACCTCCCCCTATACACGGGACCTTTACGGGACCTCCAGGAGATGTCTGCTCGCGCAACCGTGCGTTATTTTGCCCCAGGGCTAACAGCTACGCTCCCCCCCCCTGCATTTTCCTGCCCGTGTGACCGGAGCCTTAAACTAGCTGAATAGCAGCAGAAAACCAATGTTTCTTTGCTGCTGCCGCAGCACCTCAGAGGTCTTCCAATGAGCTCTATAACACTCTGTCAGACTCACTCAGGAGCTTTACTGTAGATTGCTGATCTTTCTACAGATTGCTGGCTTTACTTCGGTATTAGCCTCCTGCCGCTGTTGGCTGTGTAACTCTTGTGTTTATTTTGCTGCTGGTTGTAGGCAGTGTTCCCTCTAAGCTGAGTTAGTGTGAGCTACCTCTCAGTTTTTTAGCCTCCAGCTCACACATTTTCATCTTAGCTCAGGAAGGATGGCTCCAGAGCAAATTAATTTAGGCAGTAGCCAAATCGCTCGCTCACAACTTTAATGCCAGTAGCTCAACAAGTGGAATTTTTGCTCACAAGACTCCACAGCTTAGAGGGAGCCTGGGTTGTAGGTTTAGGTTTTAAGTTCTTAATGTAATAGTTTTATGCTTTTTTTTTTTAGTTCTGACTTGCCTTGTGTGATATTTTAGTGACAGAAAGGCGGGACATAGATTTTTGGAATAAATCAATCCCTTGTTTTGTTGGGCATCAGCTTTATTTTTTCAGTTTGTTCCAAAATTACCCTGTCATCCTTCAGACTTTGCATGGTCAATATCTCCCATATTGGGGCTCTGGCTGGCTCCCCCAGTAAAAGTCCTAGTTCTGTCTCGCATTTGGCCTCTTGTCTCAGGGTATATCATCAACACCTTAGTCAGGGTCCCCATCATGGTGCCCACCAGCACCTTTCCCGGGGCCCGCCAAGTGTTTTTAGGAAGTGGGTGGAACCAGACAGGCCATTGGAGATCTCATCAGCTGTGCAGATGAAAAGGTATCCTGTGAATCAGAGCTTCTGCCTGAAATGCTGAAGAGGTACTATTAGAGTTATAGATAACCCCGGTCCCTGACATTTTGTGGTTGGGTCTGCCTCCTGCAGCAGCCCTTTTGTGATTAGAGCCACCGCCTGTGGCAGCCATTTTATGATTAGCTCCACCTCCTGTGGCAGCCATTTTGTGATTGAGCCCATTGGCCTATGTCAGGATTCCAAAAGTGCCTTCAGTCTTAAAAAGGTTGGAAACCCTTGACCTAAGCCATTTTCAGTCGTTGCTCTTTTGGCACCACCTGCAGTCCTCTCAATATGTGCAGTCCTCATTTTGTGTATACAGGGCAACGTGCATATTTTCCAGCTTTGATACACTCAATTGGAAATTCAGATATTTTTTTATGGGTTTAGGCATACTGAGACTGAAAATACATTTGTTACCCTGTTTACAAGAAAAAGCAGCCATGCACTTTGGGAGGCTCAAGGGTAGCACAATTTCTCTTTACATGCACTTTAAACACAAAAATCATAACAGCTGGACAGGGCTTTAGTTATATTTGACTCTCTACCACAAGAATTCTGCAGTAAATCACTTGATTATCGTGCTCCCACCATGTTCAATCAATGTGAAAATATCCAGAAAGAGTCCAGAGGGGGTTATTTCTTTATCAACCCTACTTCAACCAACGGAGCTGTCTTCTCTCACCCAATCTGGGTTACAGTTGTTAATCCAAATATTAGTTAAATTCTTATCTCAAGATAAACATCATGTCATCTGGTAAAACTTTGGGATTAGATTATAAATTTAAAAGGTTTTTTAAAAAAAACATCCACAAGGAATGATGGAAAAATCACTGCACAGCAGTGGTATCAGATAAATTTACAACCTTGGCCTTTCTAGTTCCAATATAAACTGTTAGTAAAAGTTTAATTCTCTGTGTGAAAATATTTTTCAAATAACACTTCTGCTCATGCACAGACTACTTTATACAGAACTTCAATCAAAAATTAGAACTGTCCTAGTCAAACTATATGCTTCTGATACACACAATTCATAAGAACATAAGAGAAGCCAATGTTGGATCAGGCCAATGGCCCATCTAGTCCAACACTCTGTCACACAGTGGCCAAAAATACCAGGTGCCATCAGGAGGTCCAGCA